TTCCCCATTTAACTAAAGCTTAGAATTTTTTGCGAACGACATCAATGGGATTTGATGTATATTGATTGATCAGTAACGTACCTTTCGCAGAAGGGGGTGGAAAAWTTCCTCTGCTCTCAGGGTATCAGTAACGACCAGACGAACTGAGTGAACTGATTTGGAAACTATGCTTTAGTAAGTCGCAAAACCTAACCTCTGCAAATATGGATGGCTATTAAGGACAGTACTTTTACTTTTTGTAGCGGTTTGATTTCATCTTTTTAACCTTTTATTTAAAAWGGTAAAGCCGGCAGAATATCGTTAAACCGGGACCAGTGGAGAGGGGAAATACTCCTGGGTAAAAATACCGGTGGTGCTCGTCGGATCTCTTAGGGGGAAAAAAWTCGTGATTGTAAATCTTTTAGAGTGCCAATTTGGATTTCTGGATATTTATATTTTCATGCAATCTCTTAGGCTTAGGCGATTTTCCTCTAATTTAATTTAATTTAATTTAAAATATTTGTTGTGCAATCTCTTATGTCTTAATAATCAGTCATTCATGCCTGTTTTTCAAGACTTTTCAGGTTTTTTCATTTAGGGGTCTTTTTAAAAAATTTCTGACGAGCATCCCAGGTACTTTTACCCTGGAGCTGCCCCCCWCTCCCTCCTCGGGAAATGGCACAAGTGACCCCATGCACTTCTAATACATGCACGTAATTTGTCTAAGTTGATAACCTGTATTGTATCGGCATGACATTGGCATTAAGCCAGATTAGCTCAGCTAGTTCAGAATGTTTATGCTCTTATCAATTAAAAGTCATATAATCATAGTGTTGATGCCGCTCTTTACACAGGAACTTCATTCTCATGACGTCAAGAGACTATTTTAAAATTCACTTAGACATCACGTATAAATAGGCGCACGAACTCAAAACTCACACGACATCAGCCTATTCGCTAGAGAAGAACCAACGACTAGAAAAGCCATGGGATTCCTGATGAAATCCTTTCTCGTGCTCTGCATCGTGTGTTTCTGTCGAGGAGATGACATTCATGCCGGTGATTCGTTCACTTTAAAGAGACTTCACCTGACGGACGAGGYCGTGTTGGGATTGCTAAGAAGAGTTGAAACCCTCGAAAGTGGACGATCTAATGTGTGCGCAGTACAAGGTATGAAGTATGAATTAAATTGCAGGAGGGTCAAACGAAAATTCTTGGCTGGCTGTACTGCTTTAATTTGTAATCTGTTCGACTGTAATCTGTTCGATTAGAGATAATTTAGGAATTAAACCACTTGCGCTGCTCGACTCCCGATATTTTGAATTTTTGCAATTTGCTACTTAAGTTTACAAAGAACACCGAGATTAAACTATTTCTAGTGGCCCAAATCATAAAGACGAATTTTATTATTTAGACGATAGAAATTTCAAATAGCTAGTCCAAAGAAATTGTAAAAGATAATTAACCTGCACTTGAAAATTTTATGTTTTGTGATATCTTTGGTCTTTTTACCTAACGCTGCAAATTGGAGATTCTTTTGACTAGTAAGTTGGTCCATCTACTGTAAAACACTTCGATAAGTATACTTTAAGTAGTTTTTTTTCTTTTTAATTGACATTGCATTGAAAAATTGTTGAATTATCAACGKTATTAATTGCATGATCTTCCAGGTTAAATGTATTTAGTCTTGCGCTGAGTCTGAATTTGCATATTTTGAAATAGACACTCTTTATATTAGAACGTGAAATCGGAACAAAATTTGGAAAAAAATGAGAAAGACTGGATATTTTTCCTGGTTCACTCGTATTTCTATCGTTTTGACGTCGTTGCAGAAAGCCGTCAAAAAAGAATATCGTAGCATGTGAATAAACAGTTTTGAACACTACATTAATTTTTGAAGTGAAAGTAGCGCATTCTTGCTTTCACGTAATATATAAAACTTGAGCGGGAGACCTTGTGGGCACATAAATCTGCGAGTTGCAAAAAAACTTCAGGATAAAATATCATTTGTAAGAGAAAATCAAAGTTAAAGTCGTATGCAAATCAGGACAAATCTCTTGCTCATATAAAGATGCGGTCACGTTGTGTGACTCTTGTTTGCCTTATGAATTATTAATGAACTCTATAATATGCATAAAAATATATTCTCCGTCAACAAACAGCTGATGCTCAGCTGATGCACAACCAGAGATCCTTGCKAACAACCTGATAGATTTATAACATAGTCCAGAAATTTGGAGACTTTTCACCTCCAGACAAAACACGATTTTAATCAGTGTTTATTAAAATAAACACTGGGTGATTTGAGAAAATGCGACTAGCCAATCAGCGCAAAGCTGACAAGCTTATGTTGTAAACATAACCCTCCGACGGGAGGAATTTGCACAGCAAAACTCGACCCAGTGGAGTAGGCTGTCTGTCATTTTATTCTATCCGAAAAATCGAAGCTAAAACGCAAAGAGAAATTGAAAATCATTATAAAATAGCGTTATAGAAAGAGAATTTTATCTTAAAAATGAAAAAACAAATAACTTTTTCTTTAATACCACGAGACTCCCCTCCCTGATAGAAGTAATTGTTCTGTGTTCTACGCGGGTTCTCCATTGCATGCGAAGCAATGACCGACTTCACGAAGACTTCAGAAGGTCGTTGAGGCGACGTTCAACTCCAATGTATCTTAGGAGGAACCATTGCAAATCATTTTTCTTAGCTCTAGTTTCCTTTAAGCTTTGAGGTATCTACAACATCACTGGAAGAGCTAGAGCAGCTTAGGTCCACGTATTCCAATAGAGTTAAAGCGTTTGTTATTTTTGGTACAAACAACTGTCGTAGTTCATTTTTTGTCGCATTTTCGGCAATATGCCGCAAGCGTGCTCGACGATTTGACGTTATGTAACAGGCCAGTTACATTTACTAGCTCTGACCTTACAACTAGAGCTAGAACGGTGACTGGGTTTTTTTCGTGTAATGTCTTGATAGCGACTGTTTATGTCGAAACGACTCAAAACAAAATTCCATCGTGAAAAAAGTTCGACTAAATTCCCACGCGTGTGTATTTAAGGTGGTTTCATATGAGCATTCAATTCTTAAAGGTTTAATTCTATAATCATTTTGTTTAGTTATGTAAATAAATTTAACACGACTTGTACTGTTTGTCTGAGTGAAAGGCGAGATGCGGGTTTTCCCTTTCTTTATTTACACTTTCAAATATGACCGCTTAACAAAAATGCACGGGCTCACTGGCTTACAACCTTGGCGAATTCATATACAGGCCTGRTCGCAAATCAATCACCCAGCACGAATGAGATAATGAAACGCGGAAACGTCAAGGCTGTTGTCAGATATCACACACCCCCAAAGAAGCAAAAAGAACCTGACAATGTTTTTCATCATTTGATAWTGCTTTAGTATCAGTGAAGAGATGAGAATTAACTGTTGGCTCCTGATGGTACATATGCAACAACATATCATAACCCTAATATACAACCCATAGTAGAGCATAACACGTCTATTGTTGATCCTGATATTAAATCTCACACAATTGCACATTTAAAAGAATCTAGAGGCTCTCACATCGTAAAGTCGGGCTACCTCTGAAAAACACAGGAAATTTAAGGAAGTCACTCTTGAAAACACTTCAAATTAGGAACTAGTAGCGATATTCTATCTTCCCATCTCTCTCAATTTTTACAAAATAGATAGCCCGATTTCACGCTCACAGAGCGTGCAGTTCTATCTAGACCGCGCGCTCGGTTAATAAGACCTAAAWATGCAGAATAATGAGATCAAATTACAATTAAATTTAGAATCACTGCAATTCAGTTCAGTTTGTTCTAAGCTTCTGATTCTCTTTACAGGTTGGTGTGTCGTGTTCGACTTTGAAGCTGGCGTGACTGGATGGACCACGAGTGGCAAAGCCTTCAAAAATCAGCCAACATGGGGAGATAATCCCACAGCCAGAAAAAGAGGACAGCCATCAAACCACAGAGGAGATTGGTGGATTGGATCCAATGAAAATCGTCCAAGTGAAGCCCATAAGCCTGGAGCGGTACAAGGTGACGGTCCCAAAGGAACTATGACGTCACCATCCTTTGTGATCAAGGGAGACAAGATGAGGTTCTTGATTGGAGGAGGCTGTGACATGGCAACTGAACGTGTGGAGCTGGTGGTCGATGGAAAAGCTGTTGCCAAAGCGACTGGGAAGTGCAATGAAACAATGGCACCCCATGTTTGGAGTCTCGACAAATCATTAAAGGGAAAAACAGCCCGCCTGCGATTGGTTGACAATAGAAGTAGTGGTTGGGGTCATATCAACTTCGATCACTTTGAGATGTTTGTTAGCGATTAATCCCAAACGACTGCGAACTGAAATTTTATTCATGCCCCCAATCAGACCAACAAAGACAGACCTTTTTCAAATTTTCAAATTGAATTGTACTTGATTAATTCAAAATAACTTTTGCTGACCTATATTGTAATATTACTTTAACTTTTTCATGATTTACAACTCACTTTAAACTTTCTTATAAACAGTAGTTACTGTTTTTAAATCTATTTACAATTTGAGCTTTGCAGATCTTTTAAAAATTGTACATTTTACAAATATTTGTTTAAAGCTTTTGTAGTTTCCAAACTTTTGACTATCTTTAATTTCGTTCAAACAATGCCTTGTGCGTGCGCTATAGACTCTGGACTAATCCCTTCAATTACTTGTGATCATAAACCTTGTGYTGTCATGCGTACTTCAAATCTGCTTTCTTAAGGACCTTGAACAATCCTATAAATAAAGTGCGAATGACATCGACTTTGATAGTTTGTTATTTTGTTATGATTTCTAAGTTGAGTTTTCTTTATAATTTCATTTTCGCACACTTTCAAAGTTCAGTTGTTGATCTAAGGTCATATATGTCCTCGCAATTAGTTCCAGTCCGAGGCGTTAGTAGTCTCTTTTAACAGCCGCGACTTCAGGTCTCGTCAAATTTCCTCTCCGAAAGTAACTTTCGGGTAGGAAATATGACGAGCAGAGGACTGGAACTAATTGCAAGGACTTGAAATCCCGTCCAGTCCAAACTGGAGGACTTTGAACGACTTCTCATACTCATTTAAATTAAATTTTAATTATAATTATTCGGGAKKGGRAAAAGCGAAGGAAATACATATRAATTAAAAGAAATATATATARTTTATTTCATGGAAAGTGCGACGTACGGGATTTTATTCACGAGTTGTTTGCATCATACAACGAACGAGCGAGGAACGATTTTATACATTATCATCATGCAACATTATCAACATATAACATTATCATCATACAACATTATCATATCATACAACATTATCATCGTATTAATACAGCATTATCATGTGAGCTGTCTGCCACACAGCATATACCCTCTGAATATGAAAAAACACATTTTATGGGCTGCCGGCCATGTAGCATTTTCAAGACCTTGACCGGTAACCGCCCATATAGACACAGCGTTTTTATTACTTTCAATTCAGGAAGTATTTTTTGCTTTACTCCTTTTGGTAGTATTAATATTAACTTTATTAAGGTTCAATACAGTCCAATTCTTCGACTACAAAACTCGAACTGTTGTCACTTTATCGTCAAGCAGAAYCCCGAGTTCACGCAGCTATGCGTCTAGTTTCTAATACTTTGATCACCATTAGCTAGTAGTAGTTTGAAAAAWGTGGAAGTAACTGGAATTAAGATAGAATACAAAGTMGGAGTACTTCCTCTGGTATCCAGCGACTGGCACGTGGTACAAATTACAATCAGGGATTGGCTGGATACCTCATGAATAATCAATGAGTATGAGAATTTCATATTATGACTTGTGGAAAATACGCCCAGTTATTTAAATGTAATCTTACGTATTCTGACGTATCACCTAGTATAAAAGAGCTACAATCCTGGACAAAAAGAATGGAATGTCTTTGTATACTTTTAATTTTTKCTGTCCTTCCCCCGCCCCCCTTCGCTCAAAGTTGTACTTTAGAGAGCACACATAYCTGCTGGATTCTGTTTGAGTGCTAACAACACTGTTTTGGGGGAGGGGAGGGGGTAGTGAGAATGTTTTGTTGAACTGATCGGAAGGGTGCWGTTATTCTYAACCTTTTTGTTCRGCAWTGTAGCTTACCTAGTTCTAAGGAGGTTTTGAATGGACATTTTGAGTACAATAAACCTGTCGTGTGCCTAACCTGAGTCGTATTAGAGGCCTTTTGCATTGCTAAAACGCGAGTGAYTCAACATAGCCATAGTCCCATTTTACTCTATACGAACTGCTTTTTTCTTAATGTGTTTACGCGAATAGACGCCACAGCTAATATTTAATTCATCGTCGCGATTCAGCTGCARAGCTCGTTTTATAGTAAGCCTTCGCTTATTCCAGCAGTATTTTATCCTCGGGAACCAGAGAAAGCCATCTTCGGTTGTTCGCTCCTCATAAATATGTACTACTGTTATACTTATAATAATTATTTTTCCCATGTTCCCCTGCAATCTTAGCTTTGATGATGTGGCTTTTTGGAACCCGACTATATACGTTTATTGTGGTTAGTCTAGTGACAGACTAGTAAACCACCATGTCATCATGTCTTGTAAGCAAGCAAGGATTGATGTCCGTAACAATGACGTCATTGGATTCKGATATCAATTTATTATGACGGTCTTACTGTGTGAAACAATTACATTTCCAAAGTTCCTAAGCCGATTACGCTACGATGCCAATTTGATGACGTATTGACTGTTTTAGAAGCTTTTAAGATCAAGGGTCGCGGTTCGAGTCCTGTTGGATACGTATTTTTTTTTGTACTTTATTTTTAGAGTTTTTTTTTTTCCTTTCCCCCTTCTTTTAATGATCATAGCATGTTTTTCAATAATTTTTCTTTATAAAAAAAAGTGCGATAAATCTTGATGTAAAAAATCGGTCTTAACTTTCCGAAATCCCTAACTGAAAGCTGCAAAGTGCGATCACTGTACTTTTAAATGAACTCTACCCATCTAGCGATTGTTCTATCACTCA